ACTCTTCTAAGAAGAAGACAATGCATTTTGTCGATCCTCTGACAGGATGATATCAAGTAGATGTTTTTTTTTACAGTTATTCAAGACCAAATTATCAAAACCAAATATCAACTGAAATAAATAATACACAGTGAAAAATTCATTAAAAAGCTGTCGAGACTTATTTTCTCTTTAATGAAACGTCAAATCGATTTAAATTTTTAATGTTTTGTTTGAAATCACAAAGCTGGCATTTGCAGGATCCAAGAACATTTGATCTTGATGGAAAACATCGAAAGAAAAACACCAAAAAGGAAAAGATTGAAAAATAAAGATACTGTAAAGAAACAAGTCATTAAATGCGAACATATTTTCTACGAAACTAAGAACTGAAGTGGCTGCTTCTAGACAATTATTCAGGTACAAACTCTTTCAACTGTAATTTAGTATTTTGACCAGACAATTTCCTAAAAACTAAGTTTATATAAAAAGACTCTTGTCCGGTCGATCAACAGTATTCTTGGAAAAAAAAGAAATTCTACTTTGCTATCGCCTTCTATTTATGTTTTTTCTCCATATGAAATCGTAAAAGATCTAGAAGGTTTACTTATTATCAACAAAATGGATTCGTTCCCTGTTTTGACTTTTTTCTTTTCGCTATTCTCCTTTTGGCATTTTCCTATGTGAAACTTTTCTCGTTTCCACATTCTCTCAACCAATCTCGAAAAATAGCTGCAGAGCAAACAAAAAATGTTTATTTCATGAATAACACCGCTTCTGAACTTAAAAGCCATAAACAAGGTACTACCATTGGATCGATAAAAAAAAAACTTCTATTAGACGTACATTTTTAAATATTTTCTCGGTCAATTTTTGAAGCCACAAAAAAATTGTTATCGAGGCAAATATGAACAAACTCGAAGAATAGAATTTTTACACTTACACCAAGGCCAAAGCTAACATGTCATTGAATCAATCTTAAAAAATTCCATTTTAGGACTGTATTTAAAGCCATCAACATCAGAAAAAAAGATCTGAAGATAAAGTGAAGAGTTAAGTTGCAACTATGTATAGAATACTTTTCTTTACCGAAAGTTTTTTCCTCAACAAAATGAATGTCAAATTTTGATTTGTTTAATTTTTTTGACTAAAATTTGCTGTTCAAAACAAATAAGTAACGTACGTCAGTTCGACTCACTTGACCCTCGACTGTAAAAGACAGAAATATATTCCACATGTGTTGGTATCGAAAGAATTGATCTACCAGCTTGATCACAATGACTGACGCAAATTTCAATCTCTTAAATCGTAAAAGTCGAAGAAACTGCTCGGCCGTTTTGTAAAATAATTGAAGATAAACCTTACTTTTCAGTAAGAGATTGTAAACCTAGCAATTCTTTGTCAAAGTGCACTTTAACTGCTAAATACCTGTTTCACCTTTCATTCTCACACAGATAGACACAAAAACTTATTTTATTCCATATAACCCTTTCTATAACCGAGAAAATATCATTATTTTCTCAAAAAAACTTTTCCTTTGACTCTAAAAATTCAACTCAAAATTTTGAGAAACTGACTTCAGATTCGGATTCATCGATCCAGATTGACTTTTGTCAGCCTTTATCTCCAGCCTGCAAAAATCTGACCGGTTGAAAGCCTAATATAAAAACCTCTGATTGGCTGAAATCTTAGGACGAAAAACTTGACTGGCATAAACCCTAATATGAAAAACCCGATTCGCTGAAATTCCGATGTATTCATATTTGATCATCTTTTTTGACTCTTGACCTTTGACCCTGACACAAACACACACACAAACTCATTTTAATTCATATTACCCTCCCAACAGTCGAGGGAATAAACAAAGCAAAAGTACCCGTCGGAATCATTGACACCAATGAGGTCAGTAGAACATTATTATATTTCCATATAAAATGTCTTGATATTCTATTTAGAAATATTAATTTCGTCTCCGTCACTAGAGTAGGTGGTCTCATATGTAAGTCCTTATCAGATGAAGTATAAGATTAAACTTTTCTTTTTCGCCGGCTCGTCAACATTTTTTCTGTTCGAAAGAGAGGCTTCGTGAAATTTTCCGCTCACATGTTTTAAAAGCCATTTTTTCTTCCAGATATGTACTAATATCTCACTGATTGCGTGAACCTACAGCAGTGGCGGATCCAGGATTTTCGAGAGAAGGTGGCACTTTGTAAATTTAGCGGCGTAACCAGAATTTTAGGCTAGAGAGGCTCAGTCCCGAACGTTTTTAAAAGGTGAACAAAACTAGTGCTAAATATTTTTCATTTTTTTTTCGCAAAAAAGGAACTAAGGCCCTAACCTATCTGTATGAGATGCCTAATTCGAATTATAACATAAATGCACTTTCGGAAGTGCTTAATCATTTCGAAAATAACTAAAAAAAATAAAATATACATGCACCCATTTAGATAAATTATTATAAAAGCTATAAATGATGAAGACTGCTCTAAAGTTAGGCAAAAATTTTGCTTTTTTTGCCATTTATCATTTCTGATAACAGCTATAAATGTTGAAGGCTTTACTATAAAGTTAGGCAAAAATTTTTACTCTTTTTGCCATTTATCATTTATCATTTATGATAAAAGCTATAAGTGACGCAGACTTTACAGTAAATTCATCACCGTTTATAACTTTTACCATAAATGATAAATGGCAAAAAAGTAAAAATTTTTGGCTAATTTTACAGTAATGTCTTCATCGTTTATAGCTTTTATAATAAATGATAAATGGCAAAAAAAGTAAAAATTTTTGCCTAACTTCACATTAAAGTCTTCATCATTTATAGCTGTTATCATAAATGATAAATGGCAAAAAAAGTAAAACTTTTTGCCTAACTTTACAGCAAAGTCATCGACATTTATAGCTTTTATCATAAATGATGAATGGCAAAAAAAAGCAAAATTTTTGCCTGACTTTACAGCAAAGTCTTCATGATTTATAGCTGTTATCAGAAATGATAAATAGCAAAAAAAGTAAAACTTTTTGCCTAACTTTACAGTAAAGTCATCGACATTTATAGCTTTTATAATAAATGATAAATGGCAAAAAAAAAGAAAATTTTTTCCCTAACTTTACAGTAAAGTCTTCATCATTTATAGCTGTTATCATAAATGGTAAATGACAAATGGCAAGAAAAGTAAAAATTTTTGCCTAACTTTACAGTAAAGTCTTCATCATTTATAGCTTTTATAATATATGATAAACGACGAAAAAAGTAAAAATTTTTGCGTAAGTTTACAGTAAAGTCATCACCATTTATAGCTTTTATCATAAATAATAAATAGCTAAAAAAGTAAAATTTTTTGCCTAGCTTTACAGTAAAGCCTCCATGGTTTATGTTTTATAATTAACGATAAGTGACGAAGAAAAAGTTTTATTCTTTTGCTAACATGAGTGCTGTGTTTTTTTCTCGATCTTCATTTATATTATAAGTCGAATTAGGCAGCTGCTCAGGTTTTTACGATTTAAAAATGTAAATTTGATTTAAAATACGTTTCCCAAGATGAAATTCAAAAATAACAGAAATGAAAGCTTTATTTCTGATCTTTTAGGGGTACTAAGAAAGAGGAAAAGCTTCTTGTTACATTCTAATATGATCTAAAGCGTTCTATGTATTCAAACATCTTTGTGAAGCTTTATTTCGGAATCATAGAATGTCTCCATAGGATCGATTATCACTCAATCTTCATATTTCTAAATAGAATTCCTTCATAATTTTGATTTTCACTTCTAATTATCCGCAACCTTACCCAATATACTCTATATACCCTTGACCTCAGAAAGAATTATAAGCAATAGCATAAGTTTTGTATGTTTCGTGGCATGTCTGCTTGCTTGTGTGAACTGACAAGTACATATATATTTGGGAGATTTCCAAGAAGCTGTTTAAATTAAGTCCCCTCTATCCCGAAAATTTAGTCAGCTACATAGTTTCACCATCTAATTCTTGTCGCATTAAGTTGATTGAGGATAAGAATCTAACTTTTGGAACTCGGAAGTTGGGTTTCGCTGTAAATATTGGCGCTATGAACATGAGAAGGATGCATGGTGTCATGACTCTTTCTATGTGTTTGGAAAGGAGTGTGAGTATGTAGCTGATGGAAGAAAACGTGATTGTGCACCTGAAAACGTTCACTGAAAGAAACAAATATGAACCAGTTTTTAACAATCATTCACACACTCATCATAAACTTCAATTGTAGCGATTCCGTTTCAAAGAAAAAATTTGATATTGCACTTGCAGTAGCAGTACAAAATGCAAGTCAGATTATTACGGTGATATGAATCAAAGAAAAGAAGTAACTTAACTAATGTGACACGATTTCGATAGTGCTTTTCGTGAAATGAAACATTTTTCGAATAAAAAAAGTACAGATGAATATGAGAAAATAAAATTAGTGCTTTGCAAATCAGTATTGTTCAATAATTTTGATAAGGACATATGAACTTTAGATATCTTTTATAAGAGGAAAATGGTCTATGCTCACAATTGTTGTCACGCTAGTAGAGAACGATCTATTTAACCGGAGTTGGCGGAAAATGTCGAAAAGGAAAATGTCGAAAGGGAAAAATGTCGAAAAAAAATAGAAAAGGAAAATGTCGAAGAGGGAAACGTCGAAACAAAAAACACATAGAAAGGAAAACATCGAAAAGCAAAAATGTAGAAAAGGAAAACGTCGAATTTATTTAAATATGTCACGGTCAAAATTAGATTGTTTGTATTCTCATTGGTTACTGTTACATAATCAATGATTATTCCTCAATCGTTATACACACATAGCTATGTGATGTCATCTCTACTTTTCCGGTTCTATCTGTTCGTCTATTTCGTCTTTCGTCCACACATTGACTCATCTTTTTTTCTGTTAACTTAATGTCTTTTTCTTTTTTCTTTGTTTTTTCTATATTCGTCTTCCAAGAAAGACGACCATTGTCTGTTTTTCCTTTCTCTCTTTGGATATAAATTCTTTTTTTTTCAACTTATGGCATTAAGTCTTATGCCTATTGATGAAGTTGAACGTCAATTTCAACGTTTACAAACTATTACATCGTCATCATTAGGTGATTTATTATTGTATTTTAAAAATCATTGGGTGCATGGTGTTGTTCCAATTCATATGTGGAATTTTTATGATGCCAACCATCGAACAAATAATACTTCAGAAGGTGAGAATGTTGTTGCTGTTCGTCTCTTTCACTTCAAAGTTCTATCCTTCATTGTTTATATTTTAGCTTATAATCTTCGATTTGCAACTCGATTATCAAAAAAACATCCTAATATTTGGAGCTTTATACAATTAATTCAAAGTGAACATGTTCGTTTTGAACATATTTC